AAAGTATTGTTGGGCATATATGTAATCTCTTAAAAGCATTGCAGCTTCACTCTGGTATTTTACATCCTCTGTGTTTCTGTCTTTTTTCTAAACTGGACTGTGGGTAACGTAAATTGTGCTGACTTTCTGGGAGAGACAAGCTGAAGGAATGAGAAGAATTGGATATGTGCAGACTTAATTCTCATCCTTTTGTCATCCTGTTGTCTCAGAAAGTCCCCACTCCTGATTGACCCAAAGATAGGAAAGACACAATTCCTGTTATCATTAATGTTCCTGTAATTAGTCTGGGTACAAAGTGCCCAATCTGACATCCTATATAACTTTATATCCTACCTTCTCCTTCTAGATATTCTCTGCTTCTTTAAATGATTCAGGCATCTAGGAATGGTCAAAATCACAACTGGAACAAGTGAACTTGAGCAAGTTTTCAGAGCCTGAACTTGTGGAAATATATTTCAAATTGTCAGTGGGAATCCAGAAAAAAAAAAAGATTATTTTTTTATTGCCTTTCCTTTTGCTAGACAGTTGTAATATTTATATTATGTACTGAAATAAATCACCTCTATGTTACAGAAACTGGAAAAATCTAACTTTATAATTCTGTAATACCTCTAATGTAAAGTATGAAAGATTTAGAATAATTTCATCTTACTGGACAGGTGTGAAAACATATACTTGTTACTATTTTTTAAATTAGGCAAACTGTTACACAATGTGGAACTGGCTCATCTAAGCTCACATTTAGTTTCTGCCAGGTTAGGATATAATGTGGCATCCTGACTCCTCTGGCCCTTGTGTCTGTGTTTAAGACCATTTTGCATAGAGTTTGTACACAGGATAGTGAAAAGATGCAAATTTGAGTGCAGTGCACATGGATTAGCAGGTGTTCAGAGATGGGTGTTTTCAGTAAGTATCGCTGACTCTGCTTAGAATTTCTTTGTCTTTATGAATATATTGTTCCTCACAAACAAACACATTAATCACTTGTCAAAATTGTCCTTCAGTATGAAGGAAACAAGGTAATCTCTGGGCTGATAACCCCAGTGCCACTTCCTTGTTGGAATTTCCAAGAGGCCATTAAGAGCACCTTGAAGGTAGTTATCAGTGAAGCAGTGTGAGGAGTTACAAACTTTGGGTACCCTGTGGATGGATGAGGAGACAGTTAAGGGGACCTTGGGAATCAGTGAGTTAAGCTGCTAAAATTAAAGTGAGGGGGAGGTCCATGAAGGTGTGACACTGATCTTCTTCCATGAGGTCAGGTATATCCCCAGCTTGAGAGCATCCATCCTCTGCCATAGTTTCTTAGGGCTTTGAAAAAAGGCACTTGTGAAAAGCAAAACAAACAAATGGAAGCCAGTGAGCAATGCCAAAGCAGCACCTCACCAGTGGTCAAGCAATGAAATTACTGGAGCTCCTTGCCCTGTTCAGTGTCGTACACAACAGCAGCTCTTAACAGTCTCTAATATTAATGTCAGGTTGGAGAGGGGAGGCTGTGAAAGGAGTAAGGAGTTACTTCAGTGCAGCTCATGGTGTGGGGGAAATTACCACTGAGATTTCACAACACATCTGAGATAATGGAGAACAGGAAAAGGTTTGTTTGTTTTTTAAAGCAAAGGACAGAAACTTTGCTGCAGCTCTTTGAGATCCTCCCCTCCTCCCACGCTGTCTTTATCACTGCCCACAACTCTCCCTGCCGGTGCAGCAGCTTCTTGTCCTGGTTCACTGATGTAAGACGGGTCCTGGGACTCTGGAAGACAGACAGTGAACTCCTATCAGGGGGATCTCAGGTTGTCCAGCATCTCATTAATTTCTGATTTCTCTTTTTATGGCTAGAAAACTCACTGTTGCAACTGCCCTTTGACAAGATAATTTAGTACAGGTATGAATTATTAAAGCCAATTATTAAAACAAAGCCTGGTAATGCAGCTTGTTTGCCCTAGAGTGATACAAAAGGTCACAAACCTCATCTTTTTAGGGAAAATCTTTGTCAGCTGTCTTTAAAGTGCAAAACCAGACCTGTCCTGACAGAGCTCAATGAATGCTTTATATGCAACTCTGTTAGCCTTTGAAGTTCCTCCTAATCCACCCCTAAATGCCTGGAACATATTCTTCAAAGAAGCTGTCATCTTCTCCAGTTTCCTTTCAGAGTAGGGTTGCAGGATAGTATGACTAATATATTTTAAAATGTTCTTTTCACTTGCAAACATCACTGATCCATATTCTTCTTGTGAAATATAAAGGAAAAAATCTGAATGTCATTGTTAATCCAGCAACAAGAACTTTTGTGGAAAGCTATAAACTTTTGTGATTCAGCACCTTCTTTGACTTGATTTTCATCATTTTCATGAAACAGCATAGTCTAAATTACATGTTTTCATGGTTGGTATATTATTATGCAGCAGGAAAAAGTAATTTATTTGTTTGATTTATTAGCATTTTGTGCATATTCATATGCTATTTGCTCTCTTGTAATAATTATTCTGGAATTGAGGGGAATTATTGTATGACATAGGACAGATGGGTGAAAATAACAAAACCAGAGTGAAAAATGCCATACATGTTATTTCTCAAGCTAGGTGGTAGTCTAAGCCTTTGATACCCATTTAGTACACAGAATTCTTGCAGAATTTCCTGACATTTAACTTCCTGGGGGCATCACAAGGGTTGTTCTCTCCTCACTTCTGAAATCCCCCTCTCTGACACCACTCTGGAACAGATTTTGTTTCGAATTAGTGTCTCATTCATGGTGAATTATTTACCCAGAGTTTGGCACTGCAACTGAATGAATACTGGGGGCTATACTATATTTACACAGTGGCATGTCCTTGGGAGATACTCCAGTGTAAGTATAAGCAGAATAAATACAGGGGAGTATATATAATAAAATCTTGGAGTTAGTGTTGTTAATATGCCTGTAATCTCCTCTGTGTAGGGCAAGCACATGGATCATTTTCTGTAAGCTGCAGTTCACAGAATAATTTGAAGTTATTCAGATATTGTTTCATTTCTCATTATTTACACTGTGTGCTTTAGGAACAGCGCTGTGTCACTGCAGGATGCTTGTTCCAAAAAAAGGAACATTTTCCTCCAAAATGAGGTCCTGCT